TGTATATAAATATATTTATGGGATATGAAGATAGATGGAAAATATATATGAATATATATTTGTATATCTATAATATTTGTATATATATATAAAATATTTTTATATATATAATATTTGTATAAATATCTATAATATTTGTATATATATGTAAATACCATACATATGCATATATAAATTCCATATATATATAAATTCCATATATATCTCTATAAATTCTATATATATATAAATTCCATATATATCTCTATAAATTCCATATATATCTCTATAAATTCCATATATATCCCTATAAATTCCATATATATCCCTATAAATTCCATATATATCTCTATAAATACCATATATATCCCTATAAATTCCATATATATCTCTATATAAATTCCATATATCTCTATATAAATTCCATATATATCTCTATATAAATTCCATACATATCTCTATAAATTCCATATATACCCCTATAAATTCCATATACATCTCTATAAATTCCATATATATATCCCTATCAATTCCATATATATCTCTATATAAATTCCATATAAACCCCTATCAATTCCATATATCCCCCTATCAATTCCATATATCCCCCTATCAATTCCATATAAACCCCTATCAATTCCATATAAACCCCTATCAATTCCATATAAACCCCTATCAATTCCATATATCCCCCTATCAATTCCATATATCCCCCTATCAATTCCATGTATCCAATCCCCCCGGCTCACCCCCACGAGCACATTTCTATTTTCTATTTATGGGGTTTGATTTGTGCTGCTGGGTACCAGTGCCCGTTGTTGGCTCAGCAGTTTCCGGGGTTTCCAGCGCCCATTTCCCGGGATGTGTGGGGTTTCCCTGTCCGTCCCGGAGTGTTTGGGATGGTTCAGTGGGTTCAGTGGGTGCAGTGGGTCCTGTGGGTTCTATGGGTTCAGTGGGTGCAGTGGGTTCAGTGGGTGCAGTGGGTTCAGTGGGTTCAGTGGGTGCAGTGCGTTCAGTGGGTTCAGTGGGTTCAGTGGGTTCAGTGGGTTCAGTGGGCTCAGTGGGTTCAGTGGGTCCTGTGGGTCCTGTGGGTCCTGTGGGTTCAGTGGGTTCAGTGGGTTCAGTGGGTTCAGTGGGTTCAGTGGGTTCAGTGGGTGCAGTGCGTTCAGTGGGTTCAGTGGGTTCAGTGGGTGCAGTGGGTTCTGTGGGTGCAGTGGGTTCAGTGGGTTCAGTGTGTCCTGTGTGGGTTCAGTGGGTTCAGTGGGTCCTGTGTGGGTTCAGTGGGTCCTGTGTGGGTCCTGTGGGTTCAGTGTGGGGTTCAGTGGGTCCTGTGTGGGTTCAGTGTGGGGTTCAGTGGGTCCTGTGTGGGTTCAGTGGGTTCAGTGGGTCCTGTATGGGTTCTATGGGTTCAGTGTGTCCTGTGTGGGTTCAGTGGGTCCTGTGGGTGCAGTGGGTTCAGTGGGTGCAGTGGGTCCTGTGTGGGGTTCAGTGGGTGCAGTGGGTCCTGTGTGGGGTTCTATGGGTGCAGTGGGTCCTGTGGGTTCTATGGGTTCAGTGGGTCCTGTGGGTCCTGTGGGTCCTGTGTGGGGTGCAGTGTGTCCTGTGTGTGTCCGTGGGGACAAAGGCAGGCAGGCAGTCATGACGTTGCCGTACGTGCCCAGATGTGAAGCCGTCCAATGTGCTGGTGAGCACCCGTGGCCAGGTGAAACTCTGCGACTTCGGGGTCAGCACGCAGGTAAACCCTGCTCACTGCATTG